GAACCTTGCAATAATTCTAAATGAATAAATATCAAATATTGTTTTTATATATATTTATTAACCTGAAACTTATACCTGCGTCGCTTTTGCAGAAAACTTTTATTACACACTTATCTTGACAATATTTTCACATAACATATATATATATATATATATATATATATATATATATATATATATATATATAGAGAGAGAGAGAGAGAGAGAGAGATAGTTATCAAAGTGAGACTTTTTTTGCTGCATCACAGCACTGCAGTGTGGCTAAATGTCCATCTGCTTCAAACCGGGATCGAAACCCGACCCATTTGGCATCAGTCATATATATATATATATATATATATATATATATATATATATATATATATATATATATATATATATATATATATATATATATATGAATTATTCACACAAAACTAATGTAAAGGTTAATGATTTAAATGGAGACATCCATCATCGCAAACAATTCAAATAGTATACAAAACCTCCAGATCCGTTATGAATGAATTGATTCTTGTTTATATAAATTTCTGCCGTATTAGTTGTTATTTTTACTACAAGCTTTTGTCTGTTCCTACAGACATCTTCAGGTATAGAATAGATGTTGTTCTTGTTTTTTTTTCTCTTAGTAATAAGAGGACAACGAAAATATATGTGTTGTTGTATCCGAAAATGCTATTGAAAATGAGTTATTGGTTTTGGAACGCGCCAAAGCAACGCTGAGTTTGATTTTAAATTTTTAAAGTGTTTGCGTTTATACCAAATATGGTGATGAACAAATTTTTTTACTGGTAAATTTTTTCTGTCAAAGTGGCATGAACTATATTGTTCAATAATTACAGTAATGTCGCACTTATTATCCAAAAGTCGCACTTGGGTCAGTTATTTAAATTACGATAAACGTGCAATCAATTAACAAATACATGAATTATTCACACAAAACTAATGCAAATGTTAATGATTTAAATGGCGAGACATCCATCATCGCAAACAATTCAAATAGTATACAAAAACCTCCAGATCCGTTATGAATTTATATAAACAAGGATCAATTCATTCATAACGAATTATTGACTGGATCCAATGAGTGTGAGTTCCATATCTGCTTAAGGCGGTGGAGAAATTGGGGAGGAGATTTAACAGGAGGTAACTGATAACATCCATCCATTAGACAAGGCACGTGGAAGTAGATCAGTCTACCCCGGCGAGCGATATGATCTAGATCATTTCGGCCCTCTTCAGATTGTTGGAATGTCGACATTCCAACAATCTGAAGAGGGCCGAAATGTTGTGATAAATATTAGGCAACAATGATGAGGACGATATTCCGAACATTGTAAGTAATGTACATAATACCTCATCTCAGATATATAGACAGATACTGAATAGTCTTCTGTTTAATAATAATTTAGAAAACGGAAATATTTAAAGAAATAAATCGGATAAGTTTGAAACGTTTTTTTTTTTTTAGGCAAACTTAATTTTTTTCTTAGGAATTCTAGATCATTTCTCAGTCGCCAAAAATCTTACTTGCTTCTCCTTTTCGTTTCTCCTATTATATAACTTTTTTATAATTTATTTAATCTCAGAATTCTTCCTTCATCTCACCTTCAGATTTATCTTCCTGCCTGTCTTGCTTTCTGGCTGTTTTTTCTCGTAGCTGCCTGTCTTTCTTTCTATGAAAATGTTTATATTATGTAGCCTCTAATTTTTAAACAATTTTTCATTTCCTTACTGTCGTCCTCTTACGTAGGAATAAGCACACATAAACGCAGTATGTATCCACATACACAATGAAAAGCATAAACTCACATACACACTCATATATATTTATATTTATGCTCTAAAAAGTGCATAACCGACCTAAAAAGCTTGTGCAAATGGATGGCATAAACGGTTTAGGAGACACAGCAAAATGTCAAAATTTACTAGGAGCTAATAAGGAGAGGACATTGGGGAGAGCTATGATTGCTAACGTCTTAAAAGGACACGGAACATAGAAGAAAATGAAGAATTTCAAGGCTCGATTTTCAGCTTACATTTAAAATCATTACTACAAATTAATTTTTGATGCATCAGTATGAATTCTAAACTTTATTTCAGTCAATATTTACTATATATCATACCAATTTTATCAATGAAATCTTCAAGCAAGTTTTTCTGCAGTAATTGTTAAAAAAACTTGGAACGTTTGAAGCTACGAATCGATAAATGAAAGAGAGAGAGAGATGTAGACATTCTAATTCAAATCTGTATTAATGTTGGTTCAAACGAATTATAAAGTCTGAAATGAGAGACCACATTTACAAACGCAGTCAGAATTACATGTCCTTATTCCTTATCAGAATGCGATGGGTCAGAGCAACAGATCTGTTTAAAAATGAATAAAACTTCATTTCTATTGCAATTATTCTTATAAATTAACTGCATCACATATATAAGGTTGTTGATCCGATTAAACGTAAAAATACTCCTTATGAAATGCTAAATTGTTTGTTATTATCTAATTTGCTTGATATTTCTAGTTATTTGGACTAATTTGTTGCGTTAGGTTTGGGGTGATCAGCTGAAGTTGGGAAGGTGTCCCGTGTTGACGAAAAAATATCTTATCTTATCTTGATTTCTACTAATTCTTGACTGAGTTTCTGGGGTGAATAGTTCACATTATTTCAAATTGTTCAAACATAAAAGAAAAGTATTTTTTCCTATTCCTAAGGAATACGCCAGCCAAAGGCGAGCCAATTTTCGGAAAATATTCTCTCAATTACTTCTGATTGGAATTCTACCTTCTAAGGAAGGAATAACTGCAGACGAGACAGTAACAAAAAGTCTGTTTGAACAGAGACGGAATAAGAGTCTTCTTTTTAAACAGATTCGACATTAGTTACGCTAGTTGAAGAGAGTTGATCAAATGGAAAATGTTTAAATTACCTATTTACTATGTTAGGTTAGTGCATTGGATACATACCATAGCGTGAGGAGAAGTAAGCTCTACTAACCCTTACCATTAAAACACAGAGGGTTACTGGGCGTGGAAGAATTCCAAAACAGAAATATTACCAATGAGCAGAGAGAAAGGAAGAGTAATCAGAAAAACAGCAGATAGCGATTGACACTGCATTTAATTTTTTAAAGATTAAAGTTGATTGGAAAGCATGGAGTTGGAGATGACGAAACATTGAACCTTCACTGAAACATTTTCTTATGTACGATCATAAAGTTTACTGAAAGTCAAAGTATAAATGACTGAAAATATCCTTCCAACTTGGACTTCTATCGTCTATATCTTATTAAATATTGCATTAATATTTTTTATCCAAACATATTTCTAATTAGCAAAGTTTTCTTAATGAAATTCGCATTTTGTTTTGGCAATGAAATTCTTATAAATATCTTTCAGTTTCGTCTGCTATCAATCCATTTCTTTTTAGACATGCCAGTAATCATTTGGCTTTTATAAATATATCGAAGCAGTCTATCATTTATTGTTATCACATTTTTGAAGAGGCACACAAAAGAGAATTTTTTTTACTGCCCATAAACTATACACTCACGACATGATACCTCATTGGGAATGAATTTTCGAATTTTTTTTATTAGAAATCTCATATAAAAAGAACTACAATTTAATTACTATTTATGCAGTTTATCCAAAATACATTTCATTGTTTTTCATTGCAAAGTTGTCTTTGTCTGAAATCTGTAGAAATAAAGATTTATTACTCATGAAGTATTTTTATTTATGTTTGAAGTAAATAAGAGAAATTTAAAATTATTTTTCATATAAAAATCAAGTCTTAATATACAATTTAGTAAATATTAATAGATATTATAACAACATTAGTTTGAAGCGATTTCTACAGCTTATCGCGAATTCAAGTTTAATTACTAAAGTATTTATAAACTCCGGCAATGACTAATTGTTGTGTGAAGCAGAAATAATAATAAAAAAAAAACAACGCTGGAAATGTGTTTTGGTCACTGTCTGTAATTTTATATTTATACATGCCTTCTTTCCAGTTCCAGAGAATTGAACAGATTTTAATTAAGCTTCTCCACTAATTACGTATATGAGTTTCGAAGAACGACTGATGTTATATCTATGTTTTTACTTTAGGTAATTTTCTTTGATCTACCAACGAAAACCACGACAGCCTCTTTATTAATCAGCCATGAAAAAGCTAACCGATCGATAAAACATCAACTCGAAACAAACAACTGAAATCAATTCATGAGGTTAAAGTTTTTAATTTTATTTTTAAACACAGATTCAAAGTGAAATTGTTTTTTTTTTTTTAGCTTTTTTTTTTCCAGGAGTAAATAGATGTGTCATCAGCATAGATACCGAGCTGAGAACTGATGACAACAGGGAGGTCATTGATGAAAAGTATGAACAACGTAAGTCCAATGAAAGAGTATTAAGGAATTCCTGCATTAATGCAAAAAGATCTAGAGGGGTGGCCATTAAAGATAACTTTCATTTGGCGATTTGATAAGAAAGGCTGCATCAGTTCAAAATTTGTAAAAATTGTTCATTACGTCTTTTCGTAGTTTTTTTCTTCCTAACGTGCTATGCCTCCCGTTTATATGCAGAAATAAATGGTACAAGCCAAATATGAAATAAATAACTTCGGAAAAAATGATTTGTTGCCTGCATAATGTTTGCTTTTTTATTACTATAAATTTTGTGACATTGTAGAAATCTTCGAAAAGTCACACGGATGAAAATAAAATAAAATTAAAAAATAACCAAAATTTAATTATGTGCGTCTAGGATGTTAACAATGAATCCTTCATGACATGCATCTTCAATCTTTCTGTAGAATTGTGCATAACGAGGGCAGTAATCGCCGTCAAAGTTTTTGGTTTTGTCTGGCTCCGTAAGTAATATGTTCTTTTTAAAGAATTGATTGATTCCGTTTCTTTTACGGCTTATCAACCCATTGTCAAGTATTTAAAGCTTAAATAAATTTCATATTGTAGACGGTTGCTTAACGTATCCAGCATTCCAAAGAGGTACTCCATCTAAGTACTGACCGAGCATGACACTGCTTAACTTCGCTGGTCAAATGCGAACCGGGGATTTTAACGTGATTTGACCGTAATCTCTTTACAAATACACTTTACGATATAAAAAAAAGTTTAACAAGGCTAGTCTGTTTCCAGGATAATGTAGCTTTTTGTACATGGATATACACACCTAACACTCTCACATCTAATTAAAAAATGAAGCTATCCCATTGTCCAGCAGATGTTAATTACTTTTCACAGTCGAGTATATACTCATAGGTTGTCATCATCATAAAGATCAAACCCGAACAAAATATTATCAATCAAACAATACAAAAAGAACTCTTCTAAACAATATCTTTAACTTCTTAAAGGAAATCAGTCTACAAAAATATAAAAAAAAGAAAAAACTTCCTATAAAACTTCATAAATCCAATAATATATTTTTCAAACTGAAAAGAAAAGAAAAAGAACGCTTGAGATTCCATAAATATCTCTATTAAAAGTAAGAATGCAAACTTGTATCAGACACTGAAATAACCTGTATTCGAAACCAGGATCGTTATTAAGTGAATAAAAAGAAAAAAAAATCTATAGCTAACCTCTACGCAAAGCTATAACTGAAACTCATATAACATCAAGCTATCTACAAAATATGAAAACCTTTATCCGTCCTTAAATAACATTATAATGGTTGACGAGTGGTTAAGCAGGAACCAAACCAAACCCATCTACTTATAATTAATGTTATACATGTAAAAATAAAAATAAATTATGTACCTTTGCCTATTTTGCTGTAAGTGTCTCTTTCCGTATATAATATCTTATTAATTTCCATATAGAGAGCGAGAAATAACAGCATGATAAAAGTGAGTGAGTCATTAAGGAGAAAGTTTTCAATGGAGTAGACACGTTTCATGCCTCTTTAAAGTGATATGGCGAAAATATTATAGGTGGAGAAAGTCTGATTGGCTTGTCGAGTACAAATTCCAACTGAGGTTAAAGAGAAAGTACATCTCATCACTCCCACAGCTGGGGGTTAATAGCTAGGCTCTCTAGTACTGGGTGGGTAAATAGTCCACAAGAAATATAAATTTGGCTACCAAACCGATTGGGCGTTATTTGGATTTCATTGTAGAAACACGCAGTGACATGATGATGTGGTCTTCTACTTCATTGGGAGTCTAAAGAGACAATAAACTGCGAGGGAACGAGTAAAAACACTAAAGGAAGTCAAGAACGTACATCTACGCTGAATTTGATAGTGTTCCTATAATAATGTATCAAGATGCACCTGAAGATATTTCAAAATACCATTCGCAATATACACAATAGACACAAAATGTCTATACATGTTAATAAGACATGTCTGAAATAATAATTGCTTCCTAATTACTCTAAAGATATTTTATAAATTAAAAATAGAACGAAATTAACAAACACCCATCTACGTAGTGAAAAATTTGTACACAATATATTATGACATTTTTTTTTATTATCACAGAAAATCACGAGCAAAAAAAAACCACGTTTGTCTATGTCGTGGAATATGTTTTCTTTAGAACGTAATATATTATACAAATCTATTCACAGATAAATGGTTAATTATCTACATCTATTCACAGATAAATGGTTATATTATCCAAATCTATTCTGAAAGAAATAGTATGTTAACCAAATCTATTTTTAGAGAAATTGTATATTATCCAAATTTATTCTCAAAGAAATTGTATATTATCCATATGCATTCCTATAGAAATGGTATATTATCTAAATCTGTTCAGGGAAAATGGTATATTATGCAAATCTGTTCAGGGAAAATGGTATATTATGTAAATCTATTCACAGGGAACGCCCACACACTTCTATGCGCCGTGTTCTTTCCAGACATAGGGGTTCATAGCTCTCCACAATGTCCAATCCTTTATAACTCTTAATAAAATTGTCCTACATTTTCTGACATCTATTTACTCAAGCTCGCCAGTTAGTTTATGCGCATTTTCCCCATCCCTCTTGAATTCAATCCGTCCTGCGCGTATCAAAAATTCTAAGCAGCCTTTCCTCATTATGTGCCCAAGAAACTTCAACTCTCTCTTCCTGATATTAAAAATAAGTGTCCATTTTGTTACCATTTTCTTTAAAACTTAGTCCTTGTTCGGTCCATGGTATTCTCAGTATCCTTCTGTAGAACCATATTTCTTTTATTTCAAATCTCTTAATTTTTAAGGAGACTGCCCAGAATTCAAAGCCATATAGGAGGACTAATATCACATAACATTGTACTAGTCTTTTCTTTGTTCTTAACGAATTTTTTCAGTTATCTTAATACTTTTCTTTGCTTTTGGAAGGCATTGTTCTTTATCTTAATGCGACTTTCAGTGTCGCACTTTCCGCCCTCTGTTAAAACACATCGTCTTTACTTAGGACTGGTACGATTGCAAAGATAAAGAAATTAATACGTTCGTCTTCTTCCTTGAAATGAACTCATTTGGTACGTCGTGTTATACGCGCCGTCTTCAGCAAGTAAAGTAAAAAGATAAGCATTTTATTCATTTGTACAGCGAATGTGTCATGAGTCTACAAATCTATAGACAAATGGTACGAGTAAATTCAATGCCAATACGCTAGTCTACTTCTCATTGAAATTGTAATATTCCGTACATGCTATAAATTTAACTCTTTTCAGTAAAATAAACGAGTAGAAATAAACTATTGGATGAAAGTACGTTTACTTCCCTAAAATTATCTGTTTTTTTTCCTCTTTTTGTATCATCTCGTACATTCTTTGTTATTCTACTAGATTAATTTTCTATATGTATTGACAACATCAAGAAGAAATAGGAAAATATCATAACATTTACCCCATATACACACGTATAAGACGATTTCATGTACAATGCAACCCATGATTTTTTTGCATCAAGAAAAAAAAATACCTGTGTACAGATTTTTTCTTCTGTTTTTAATCATGTCAACCTAAGCAAGGTGGGAATGGCACTAGTACGCAGGGGTTACAGTGAATGAAATTGAGAGAAAAGACTGAGTATAGGGAGCATTGAGCAAAGATCAAAAAGATCAATGATATTCAAGAAGATGACGATTAACATTTCATTTTAATATTTGACGATTGTCGTCATCAGGGAAGCAAGTAAGCATAAGGGATTTCCACGGGCAAGAAGTGCGAGAAAAGAAACTGTTAGAGAAGAAATGGCGGCTGCATTTGGCTATTTACACAGTAAATAGATGGGACCAAGATGTCATTCTAGTTACACGCTTAAGTTCATGTAGTCGGAGTACCAGGGAAAGAAGCTCGTCAAAGCAGTTGCCATGAAAATATTTGTAGAAAAGGCAGAACTTAAGTCAAGTCATGTCGGTAAGAAAATGACTGGAGTCGAAATACCTGGTGAGGATCGGTTCTACCGGTCACATAATATGCATTGTTTTTAACCTCTTCAAAAGAATTACATATGTATAGTGCAATACCCTATTTTTTGCATAAAATGCTGATCATAAAACCTCGCACTATACACGATTATATACGGTAATTCTAATGGGAAATAAATGTCTACTATCAATAAATATTAGGGGCTTTTAAACGGGGAGCAGTTCTCATTAGACAAATTCTTTTAATAGTTGATGCCAAATCATTAAAAACAAGGAAATCCTTCAAGAATTTATACTTTTGTTATTTTCGAATAGAAAGTTGGTGAGGCTCATTATTTATCTTTCTTCAGAACATGCATTCTGTTATTTGCATATAATGTCACCACTCAAGGAACTAAGATTCCTCGAAGTGTTATCAAGTGTGACAGTTTTAATGAGTTGCAGTAGACGAAAGACAAGTTTCCTTTGGTTAAAATCGATGGTTCTTCTTCTCTCAGTTTAAAGTAGTTTTCCATTTTAATGATTTCCTATGCGTCTCTGTTGCTTCATTATTAATTATGAGCAATCTTTATTAAGACACGTTCTTTTCCGGCCACATTATAACGCTAGTAAGCATTGAAAGTAACTATAATTGTTTATAAACAATCAACAGCCAGAGAATGGGCAAATAAGAATGGCAAACAAATTGTTAAATGTGTAGCAAAATATAATATTGTTCGTCAATGAATATTATCAGTTATTTTGTGTCTTAGGCCAAGAGAAAATGAAAAATACTTGTGATAGAAAATGTTACGGTGTTCGAGGTAAAATACTTGTGTTTAAATATCATAGTTACGCAAGATAAAATTTATACAGAAATTATTTATATTTTTCTTCCCTGTGCATTTTCTAGAAATAGTTTCATGGTAATTGTTCTGATGAGTGTTCCATTTTGATACTTTATGAATTTAAGCGCAGTACTAGATGCAACCGTAAGTTCTATGTTAACAGTTTCTTCTTTCGAACTCCTCAGTTGTGAAACTCTCTTCCACCGTCTTGCTTTATAGTCAACTACGATCTTCAAAAATGTACTTAGCGTTATTTTCTTCTTAATTCCTGTACTTTTATTGTGTTCTCTCATTAATGTTTTATTCGTTTTCATATTTTGTTACACTCAGTAATTCTTTGCGTCTTTATTGCCTTGCTTCAGGTGAAAATGATAAAAAAAAGCACAAAAAAACAAATAAATAACCAATGTTAAACTGCCAAGCTTTAATAGTCAGTCTTAGTATATTCTTAAAAGATTAGTTTAGAATTTCCACTTTTCTTCATGTTTTTTTCATCGTTTTTTTTTTTTTTTTTTTTTCAAAGTCCTGGTAAAGGGAAAGATATATTTAATGATCTTGGTTCGTTTTAATCGATTTAAAAGAAATATTCTTCATTTAGGAAATTGTTTAATTTGATGAAAACACATTGTGAAAATATCTTGAATCATTACTGGTTTTATTCAATTTAGGAATTTATTCGACGCGGTAAAACGCTCAAATTTTCGGTCGAACTAAGATTCTTGAAACAGGAGATCGTCTCATAATGGCTTTAATTATTGTCTTCAGAATTGTATATCAAATCTTGATTGTTTTTAAAAGCATCATGGGAAAAATAAATGATGAAATTAGATCAATCTAATTCAAAGTCTATAAATTAAACAGTATTCCTTGATTAACCGTCATT